AGAATTTTTGCTTGGGTTTGTTTGTAGAGTTCAACAGCTTGTGTGGATTCTTGTGGAGAGCTTGGAAGCTCGCATCGCTCTCCATTGCTGGGTTGCCAGCTTTCAGTTCGAATTTGATATCGACTGATTTCGGAATCCGGGACGGGGTCAATTCCCCGGTTTGGTTGTTGCCATCAATCATACCGTCGAGAGTGTCCTTGTTGCGCTGGTGTGCCGCAAAGGCTTTGATGAATTCTTCTCCTACTTTGTTGACGGTACGGTGGTATGCCTCATGGAGCGTCGCAGTGGTGCCATGTAGGAAATTCAGGGCGGCTTGTAGTGGGGCCACTCGTGATTCCTTTTGTGTTGCATCGGGTGGTATGTCTGAGGATTGATCGCGGATGGATCAAAGGCAGTTCGTTTCCTGCTGGGGGAACCATCATCTTCGCGCTGGTTGTTGTTCCTGTTGGCGTTGGTGTTGTCGCCATTGGAGTTGCGGCGGCCGCGGCCTCTGCCACGACCACCATTGCGAAGGATGGGAACTCTCTCAATTCTTGCCTCAGGCATTGTTGCTAGTGTTACTATTGATATTGTTGTCTGTAACCGTGTTGGTTGGTTGCCTTAATAGTGTGGCTACTAAGCTTCCTTGGTTGGTTGGTTGGTTGGTTGCGTCGTTTCGTGCCACGGAGCGAGTTTACGAGTTTATGTGTTTTCTTAAAACCAAGGTGTTCAGTCGTGCTTCCACGAATTCCGAGGAACGTGTTCCGAGTGACGTACGTGTTCCGAGTGACGTACGTAGAGGTGCGTTCGATACGTGTTCCGAGTGACGTACGTAGAGGTGCGTTCGATTCGCGCGATCAGTGTGTGTGTGTGTGTGTGTGTGTGTGTAGGTGTGTGTGTGTGTGTAGGTGTGTGTACGTTGAGTGTTGTGTGAGATGTGTGATGTTGTGTGAGATGTGTGTAGACACTACTAAGAGTTAATCTACGACGAATCTACCATTGGATGTTTATCCATGGGGTATACCATTGCTTGCTGATTTCCAAATTTGAGCTTAGGAATTTCGCTGTTTGCTTCATCAGTGGAGCAAGCTGGGGATGGCAAAAGATACAAGCCGGGTAGGCTGTGAGAAAAGCAAGGGTACCCTGTTTGTGGTGATTTCGAAAAGACACATAGGAGCTGGTACGGTATAGACGAAACAAGCTAAATAAACACGTAAATCCAATACCTCGATGGGCTGGATGTGTGTGTGTGTGTGTGTGTGTGTGTGTGTGTGTGTGTGTAGGCGTGTGTACGTTGAGTGCTGTGTGAGATGTGTCGCGTACATATGGTGCGGTTTCCCTAGTAAGATTAAGGCTATCAAAGCGAACACGTACATATGGTGCGGTTTCCCTAGTAAGATTAAGGCTATCAAAGCGAACACGTACATATGGTGCGGTTTCCCTAGTAAGATTAAAGCTATCAAAGCGATGATTAGCCTTGGCTTTAAGAAACATACAAAAAAATGAAACCTTTGCCTTTAGATAAATGCTAGTTGAGGGCACTAGCCTACGGCTGTCTGTTCTCTTGTCTGTGTGTGTGTGTGTGTCGCGTACATATGGTGCGGTTTCCCTTGCAAGGTTAAGGCTACCAAGTACCGGTACCGTTCCGGATCAAACCAAAACCCTTCCTTGGCCTTTAGAAAATGCAAGTTGAGCGCACCAGCCTCCGGCTGGGGTTGAAAGCAGTTAGAATTCTAGTAGCACTTGCTTTGATCTCTGACTCTAGCTACCGGTAGTAGTCTTCAACACATCTTGCTACAGATGGTCCAACAGCGAGAATGGCCCAACAGCGAGAATCAGCTTCAGAACCTCTGGAACGCTCCGGAATTCTGAGTCAAGACGTTCCCGTTGCCCTTTTTGAATGACGTTTTGCCTCGAGAGCTCTCGAGGCAACTGGCCTCCTCAGAACTTGCCTCGAGAAATCTCTTTTCTCCTGGTTGGCAGCTTGTTCCTGACCAGCCCAACCTTCATTTTTTTTGCATCAACCTTGTAGCTACAACTACCCCACCAGAGTAACTAATAGAGCCACCCTATTAATACCCTGAGATAGGGGATATATAATTTGGACGTGCCCATCGCAGTGGTAGTAGTGGCTTCCCCATTTGTTGGTCATTTGAGCAACGAACGACTGGCAAAGTTAGGCAGCCATTTTTTGGCAATTTTTGCTCTCCCCAACAGGCAAGTCAGTTTTGCTCCCATCACCGCCCCATTTGGTTGGATCGATAGAGTTATGCCTACAGGTATGCGTCCCAGCAAGCCTGGAAGTGCCCCAGCTGTCACTCCGACCAAGAGCAGAACAACTAAAATTGATGCTGGTGTAGCGTCTTTTGGACAGCTATCTGAAACAAAGAAAACAGTGGCAGAGGCAGAAAAGGTATTAGCTGATGTACAAACTGTACTCAACACTCGCCAGCCCTCTAGAGCTCAAAAGAGGAAAGCTAATGAGGAGCTCACTACCGTTCGTCAGTATTTGAAGCAAACTTCTTCCAATATGAACCAAAACCTCAAGAAGCTCTCCCCCATTGCCGGCTTTGGTGACCGGTCACTCAGTATTATAGCCAAAGTGAGCCAAGTGAACACCCCCGCAACGGCACAACAGCTTTCTTTGACTCCATTTGAGAAAGTTAGTGCTGCGGTTGATGATACTTCTACTACTGCAGCTACTACTCCCAATGCTCCAAAGAAGAGAAAATCATTAGCTATCCAAACCCACAATCATAATGGATCATCTGAGTTTCATGCTCCCTCTCCAACCAATGGTAATATGTATGATCGACGTGAATGTTTGACTGTTATTACGTCTCATAAGAAGAATACCAGGCAACGGAGTCAAGTCATCAAGGAAATTTTGGATCGGAAACTTGTGCCCATTAATAGACCCAATCTCTACAAGGTAGTGAAGAAGTATGAGCTTCATGAAGAAAATGGGGGCACTATCAACACCTTCCCCAATGATAGGTGGCACATTAACAAGGGAAAGTCTTCCTTTATTTCTCCACAAGCTGTGAATGAGATAGTGCAGGAAATCGCAGCCCAGCCAAGGAGAGCATTTGGCAGAAGTCAAATCAAGGACAAAATGCTGGAGAAGAAGAGAGCTGAGCTTGCCAAAAATGGTCAAGTTGCCCTACGAGAATCTATTATTACACCTGGCCGAAAGACGGTCAAAAGGTATACAAATGCTATTGCCGGAATGAATAGCTCCGTCAAAAAGGCTGTTCACAAAACAGAAACCCGGCTGACTGCCGAGTTATCTTGGCGGTCCACCGCTGCCTTTGCGACGGCAGTTTGCTTCTCCCAGTTCAGGGTTGTGGCAACGTTGACTCCGTCGATTTCAAAGTTCTTGCAAAATGCTACAGAATCCGAAATTTTTTGTTACGATGTGGTCAGTCAATGCAACAAAAATTCGCCATTGCAGCCAATTCTTGCTGCGCTACTCATTTCCTCAAGTAGATCTATTCTTGCTGCAATACACGGCTCTTAGCCTTATTCGCGACTCGATCCTAGATAGGGTTTGAGTTCGACTCATGACTGAGTCTTTCGTGAATAGTCATTGAGACAGGGTTCTCATGACCGCTAGTCATACTAGGTCGATGGTGAAACATCGCGCTAGATATTTAGCTGGCGCGGAGAGATTCCACGCTACTGGATAAATGCTAGACGAATCTTCCACGCGTTCCGTTTTTGGATCGTGGAGTGAGTAGGATTGCTACCGCAACCTACTCTATCACCCTCTACAGTCTCCCGCGGGAGTTCAGATCTACGATCCTTTGATTGTGGATCTCTCTCGTTGATTAGTTTTCATAGCTTTCTAATCCTCTCATAACTTTCATTCTCTCAAACTCAAAACACTCGAAAGATCTTTACACTAGCTTTTAGCGTAGTGCATTGCTTCTAGTTTGATGCAAATGGAATCTTTTAGAAGTTTGGCTCATAATATCTTTGGCTTGGATGCTACAACGAATCATGCGATGCAAGTTAAGGCAGATCACCTCCAAGGCATGCTGGCTACAAGATTGGATTGGCTTGTAAATGAAAGCCAAAGAGTGAAAGCTCATAATGTATCAAACTGGTGCTGGAGTTTCCAAGCCAAAAGGCTAGGTTATACGTCCGCTCTTTTTACTATGGCCGGTATGCTAGTGAACGATTTGCATTGCTTTGGTGCGGCGGATTGTTTGCTAGCGGATCCTTCTCATTCTGAACTCGTTACTTTGGGAATTAGAAAAGATGGTGCTTACTACTATTGGGACGGCAATCGCAGAGAATGGGTTCGAGCTGGGATGGTGGCTTCGGTGAATGAAAGGGATATGTATGACCGGAATTTGGAACATAAAAAGGGCTCGGAGCTGCAAGCACCGGAACACTGGAAATCTGAGTTCTATACGAGCTACCCTTTCAAAGGAGACAAGGATTCATCATCTTTTAGTTGTGGAAGGCGGGGTTTCTTTGAAAGTCTGAAACAATATGTTGGTTTGGGTGTGAGTCTGCCCCCTCAAAGTGACAATTTCCATACAAATCTAGCAACCCAAACCCGACTACTGGCCCAAATGTTCAACATTACTTTTGCGGAAACTCAAAATATCAAGAAGATGAACAAGAAGCTCACCCCAGTAGAGAACCAGCGCAGGGCCATCCATTACATGCTCGAATGTGCTTGCGGCTTGTTGCTTGCTCCCAGTTCGAATATCTCGAGCAACCCAGGCTGGGAGCAAGCTCTGAAGCAGTACAATTAGGTGTTAGTATGACTAACTGTTAGTAGACAAAGGCTGCTTGTAACTGTGTCATTGATAGTGCGCTAGCTAGATAGATAGGTCCAAAGCAGCTTTCAAGCACGTCACGGAGATTCTTAATGTCAAGGTGTTTAGAATTTTACTTGTTTAAATTTTACTATAAAATCAAAATTTTACTCCTTTTACAAGTTGAGCGACCGAGTCTGTACGGAACATGGAAGATCGAGAATATTCTCGCTGTTGGACTGTTCATAGCTTGCTCCGTTGCATTGCACCAGTCCAAATCCAAAGAAGATCCCAAGTTTGAGTGTTCCACCGCGACCGATAGATCTTAGTCTTCCGGGATCCAGTTTCAGTCCCCAAGGATCCAGACTGGAGCGAAACAACAACAGCGCCAACAGCCACATCCAACGCACCCAACCATGACAAAGATATTGGGCAGCGACCGCTACCAGGACCAGCGCTTTCTCTATAGTGAAGTATAACTTGTATTACCATGGGCGAAGACGAAGACGCACGTCATCGGCGAGAAGAAGCTGAACGTCGTGCAAAGCGAAAGGTAGGCATTATTCTTGGTGATGAATTCTGGGTACCGGTAGGTGCGTTGTCACTGACTTGACTTGCCCTTCAGGCTGCCAAAGCAGGGTCTCGGTCTGATGCCCAGCGAGCTAAACGAAAGGAGCATGCAGCACGGGTTCTTGCCAAGCACCAAAAAGGTGGTCCATCTCCTCCTTCCAAACGACACAAAGGAGAAAAGGGCAAACCACCGCCTCCACCATTGCCTCCCGGAGGTACTCCATCTCATTTTCAGAATTTATTCACACAACGTGCCCAAGGGTTTCAGATCGATTTTCGCTTTCGAAATGCTCCTCCTAGACCACCAGTGGGTCCATCCTTTGTGGGTCACTCCCTAGACGGAGTGCTGGTGGAAAGAAGTCGCCAGTACAAGGCATTGAATGCCGTAGAAGTCAATTACCAATGGAAATTGCACAGTGAACCTGATCTGGGTGTACCATTGGCTCCATCTGCCATGGACGTAAAATCCTACAAAGCACCTCCCAAACATGGCCAAGACGAAGAAAACAAACCCAAACCAAAATTACATCCCGATGACGAAGCCCTCTTGGAGTGGAAGGGACCCTTGGGAGATACAGCCGCCGAAAACCTCAAGAAGAGACAAGATCAAATGCGTGCTGCTGCTCGATTGGCCCTGTCAGAAGGAAAAGGCCGTATCCCCAATATTTTGTTGCCAGCTAATGTGGACAGACTCACCAGCCCTGCGGCAGCTGCTGCATCGGTGTCCTCCAAGAAGGCATTCTCTCGTGTGCTGGATGAAGGCATGCAGACTTGGATGAAAAAGACAACCTACCTCAGTAATGACTACAGTCGAAAGGTACACGACTTTAAGTCCTTGGCATCCACCAAGCAACAGTTGGAAAAGGATTTAGAAACGAAACAACAACAGATGAATTTGAAACGATCAGCCCCAGCCATCAAGAATACTTTCACTGCAGCAACGATGCCTCCAACCCATCCAACCAAAAAGAACATGAAACCCAAAGCTATCATGTCAATCTTGCCCAACGTGGACCATTGGGGGTTTTCGTATACCCATGTTGTCATTGACAAGGCACCGAATATTGATATGATAAAGTCGGATCTTGCAAAGGCTTTCATCGCGAACGTGCAACACACAGATAGCCAACACACAGATAGCAAAATGACATGTCAACTCTGGTGTCCACCGCCACCCAAGGGCGATTCCGATTCTGAGGATGACGACGAAGAAAAATCAGAAGACGAAAAGGACAAGGATCCACCGGGCACAGCCCGCTATCACCCTGTCCAGGAATATGACTTGGATATTGTGCCACTCAAGGAAGGTGATCAACCCCATGCGAACTTTTGCCTGTGGGTTGACCCCAAGAGCAAGGTGGCCACCTATCTGCCTCTCAGTTCTCGTGTGCAGCTGTCCACTGGCCGGCCTGTCAAAGGTCGTACGTTGCGACGTGTTGCCCGTCGCCCCAAAGGAGAAGCCGACATGGAGGAAATCAATGAACAATTGGCGGAAGTCGACTACGATGTCGCCCAGAAGATTGGTCGACCAGCACCCAGTAAACCGGCCCCTGTTGCAAATTCGAATTCCAAGGATGACGGAGACGATGGTGAAGATTTTGGTGATGACGACAGTGATGACAGCGACGATGCCGTCAACAAGAAACCCACCCCGGCAGCAGCAGCCAACAACGACGACGACGATGATTCTGATGATGAAGAAGAGACGTTTGGGGGGTTGAAAACGATTGTAGCCGAGAACTAAATGCAGTTAAAGCATGCGTTTCCTTGCATACATGCTCTACTTGTAGATTGTAGTTATGTTGTGGGCTGCCAAATGCTGTGCTCCTCCCTTTGTCATCATTCAGAAAGTTCTTGAATGAATGAACAATGGCATCCAACTCTGAGTCCAGGAGTTGGAAAATGTGTTGATTCGGGAGTGGGGCCGGCCATTTATTTGCCCTGGAGTTGGGCGTGGCGATGGACCAAGTGCTGCGGGGCATGGAGATGCTGAAATGTGCATATTTCAACAAGCAGAAGATCTGATCGCGATTGTTTGTTGAAGCCCGACAACGGTAGGTCCAAGTCTTTTTTGACGATGATCACAGCAGCGGGCAAGCTTGCTTGCTAGCCAATTGCAGGCCACGAAAAATTGAAGAATATCATCAAACTTGTATAGAGCAAGAAGCGGAGCAAGTTATTGCGTTTTCTTGCAATCACCAAATGCGGCATTTGTCCAAAATGCCAATCAACTCTCCATAGTACCCAAAAGGGCGAATGATCCAAGGCATGGAGAAATCGCACGGACTCCTGGGAGAGAATTAGAAGTGCTGCGACACATCGAACCAAAAGAGCCCTCCAGAAAGATCCCGCAACGGGATGTCGGAGGCGATGAGCCCCAATGCGACTGGCTTGCCATGCTACCTCACAAAGTGCCAAAACACAAAGCGAAACGGCAAATCGGGCCGAAATTGGTTCGACCTGGGTCACCCCAAGGCAGTAGCGGAGCAACATGGATGACAACGTAAGGGCAAAAATCGTTTCTACTCCATTTGGACATGTCCAAAACACGTGTTCACGCATGTGTTGTTTCCCGACGCAAAGCACCTCTCCCTCGGCCCAAGAGAGAATATGCCACACAGCTCCAATGTCTCCGTTTCTCCACCACGGATGGTGTGCAGCGGCCCCAGGAGCAGACTTGATTACCCCGTGCAGTCTTGCCCTTGCACAGTAATCGAGGTCTTCACCTCCCCCTGTCTTGGGAAAGGACAAGTCAAAGCGCACGCGACTCTGCCGAGCCTTGACGCACAAGTTTGCTGTCACGCCCCAAGGAGGTTCTCGGGTGCGTTTAGCAATGGAATATGCACCGGGAATATCACTGGCGACAACTGCATGGGTCAGTAGATTGTGTGGTTCCGGAAAGTTCGTCAATCCCACAAACACGCTTGCATTCGGGCTTCGTAGAATTGCACCCACATAGGCATCCAATAGCTGTTCCGAGGGAATGCAATCGTCATCGATCAGTACGCAAAAATCAGCTTTGCTGTGAGCCAACCCATAGTTTCGGGCTGCCGAGGCACCGTAGTTGCGAGGTCGTCCTTTTGCGTCAAACTGCTCCAGGACATTCACCTGGTAATTCTGCTGCACACTCTGAAGCGCTCGTACCCTGTCGCCATCTTTGTGTTCGGGGTTGTCCAGCACAACCCAGAAGCTCACCTGCACCGGCCAGGATGCTCGCAGCGCCAATATCTTTTCAAGGATTGTCAGGTCACAGCGATAGCAAGGCACAACAACGTCGACACAAACTCTCATTCTCACTTCAGGAACAACCTTTTGGATCCATTTGATTGATGCGGTCAAAATATCATCTTCGAATCGCAATCGTTGCTTTGTGTATCGTGCTTGGTGTTTCCCTCCAATGGTGTTTTGCAACTTGCAGTCGAGGGCAAACTGAGACGACCCAAGTCGCTTATAGAGTTCGAAGAGGTACGGATCTCCACCTTGGTTGTCGAATTGTGAAGGAAGCAATGATCCCTCAAAGGTTTGATAGTGCCATTTGTGAATGACAGGAAAGGTTGGAAACCCTGGAAACGATTCGTCGCAAAAGGCAACACAAGCCGCGCCATAAGGCAGCTCTTGGTTCCTGGCGATGGACGCGAAACGCTGTTCAATGGATGATTGCCACCCATTGTTCAGGATTACGACGTCATCCCCCAATAGTATGGTAAAGTCAATATCGTGGTCATCAAAAGCAGCAGCCGCTAACCACTTCCAGATGCGACAAATTCTTCCTTGGAGGCCAGACAAGACTTGTATCGCGATTTCCTGTCGATCGCCACCACACACCTCTCTTAACAGGCTCCCGTCGGTATAGATAGGGTCATCATCATCTACGCCAAAGACAAGGAGAGGTAGATTCTCTTCCGATGTCGTAGTGTTTTGGATGGAATCATACATGGTTTGCACTCGCCTTCGACAGTCTTCAACGGTATCATCCGAGGAGGCTCGAATGGGAATCAGAAGTGCCCAACGACAATACGGCGCCTTGCCATCACGAGGGTTGGTTGCTTCTGTTTGAGGGCTGGTGACGCTGTTGGTGGCTCTGTGCATGTTGTCATTTTTGGTGTCCAGGTTCAAATCCAGGAACTGATTGAGATCTGGATCATGACGACAGGCATATTCTACCTCATCATAGTTCACAATAGACTCTCTGAGTGGAGCCAATGCACCGGCACTCTGTGGGACGCATTCTCTGAGTGATTTTGGCTCCGTTATTTCTTGTACACCCAGCAGCTTCCAGGCAGGTTTCATGGTTTGCACTGGATCTTGGCAAAGGTCTTCGTAAGAAACTACCAAGACTCTGGGATGACCCCTTGTCTTCAGTCTGTATTCTCTGTAGCATTCGACGTAGCGATCCACAAACCGCTGAAGATCGACCAGGTCTACCTGAACTTTGTGACTGTGATAAGTGCGTGTTATGTAGTGGCCTGTTTCAAAGGCTCTTCGCGAACTAATGTACGTTCGAAGGACATCTCTGCGAATGAGGATTATTTTGCATACATCCAAATCTCCTAGGACCTTTTCTTGAAAACAATTGAATAGTGGCTGAAGAGGAACACCCTTTTGCAGATAATGATTTGGAAAGCTCTTGTACCCAACAGCCTTGCAGCTGCGAAGACCATCCATGTTATTACTTGTGACTCGAAACTTGGCAAACTTGTGTGGCGAAAACATGAAGTCCAGAAACCCCGATGGATTGACATCGCGGCCTTCGTAGTCCCAGTTATTGGCCAGTACATCTGATTTGTAGTATGTGTGAACACCGTTTTCGTTGAAAAGTTCATTGTGCATCAGGATCTCCTCATGGTTGAACAGCATGCCACACAACCAATTGCTCCCAGTTCTTCGGAAACACAGCACCACGAACCGTCGAGCAGAGGCACCTCCATTGGGAAGTAGCCGCCCGGGCAACCAAACGCGGCCTTGACGCCGAAAGAAGCGACGTAGAATTCGCCAGAAACGACCCCATTTAGTACCAACAGCAGGAGGCGGCCCAAAGACCAAGCCGCCAATGCCCGTCATCTTGTTCCTTGCTTCCCACGGAGCCCAGTCCCCTTTCTGTTCTCTTATAAAATCTTGGCCACTGCTTCGTGTACTGCTAGTAGCTAGATCTGGCTAGCCTGATACCGGTATCCTCTGGCTAGCTGGAAGAGGAAAGATTTTGGATTGTTGTTGGAGTTTCTTTCGCCACTGATCTTTTGCTTGGATCAGATCTTTGGATCTTTCTTTGCTTTCGCGGAACAATTTAAAAGAATAGGGGGGGTTTAGAGTAGGGAAATTATCTACGGAAGCCAGCCGGGGCCAGGCTTAAGCAAAGAACAGTCGAAATTTAAAAGATGATCGTGGAACGTGGAAATTCATCCAGCAAATTCGCAGTAAAACCTTGACTTTTTTGAAAAAGAGTTTTCAGGGATGCTTGGTCAACAGAAGAGTCCAATGACATCTTCTCCACTGGCTTGATCCCCCCCGCGCCTTCGATGTACCATTGACTGCTGAAGATGTTGCGACGACTCAGGCAAACGAAGCATGGAATCTCCAGCTCCACGACGTCGTTGACTCGAGAGCCTGAACCCCCTCTTCTGTTGCTTGATGGAAGCACCTTGCCATTGCATTCAAAAACAAGGCAAGCCACAAGTAAGCAGAAACAGAAAAGGAAGTCCGGATTCCTAAACGGCGGAAGCAACCAAAACAGACAAAAAGATGACATCATCCCTTGCCAAAAAAATCATTTGAGACCATTGTTGGCGGTGCTTCTGTTTGCGCTGTTGATGTTTATCACACAGATGAATCATTGGAGTCTGTTCATCATAGTACAGTCTCAAAATCACATTGATGGACAGCCACAAAGAGTGAACCTACAAACCCGAGGAGATCCAAGGCTGCATGCTGCTACCAATTGGCGCCTGGATTATCTGAATGCTAAGGAAGCGAAAATGCCCTTTCAGCTGCCGACACCTTATACCGTCCGAGAGTACTACAATCAACGCCATCCTCAAATACCTTTGTGGTTCTGGGAGTATGTAGAGTTTCACAGGCAGCTCATATTGTTTGACGAATCGAAGGGGGTCTGGAAGCTACGAGATGGAAGTCGCTATCTCAAGTTTTCATGGTGTCAAGATCCTTTGTCTAGAAAAGAAACCAAAGGAACTCTACACTCAATCTTCCAGCGTTTGTTCCCCTTCCTTGCGAAGAAATCTACTGTCATCCCTTCTTCCGCATGCAAGTCAGACCTGGACCTCCAGGCTTATACGGATGGAGTTTTGACAGCTCTGTATGTGGCCGTGATGAGCAATAGAGTGTTGATGATTGAGGACAATCCTCTTATCGATACCCCACTGTATCCATTTCTGGAAGCAAACTTGATCCAATGGAACATAACAGAGTATCAGCAAGACTCAGCTGCAGATACTGTTGACGTGCTTTCAGTGACTGATCTTTCCTTGAATGAACAACAGCTATGCCACATCGCAATGTCGGATTCCTTGGCCGTGCAACTAGAAACACGGGTGTGGTTAGGTGACACGCAGCTTTGGTGGTCTCCATGCCTGAAAGAACACCGGAAGCAAGTTGATGACCAAGGTCAATCGTTAGATCGTCGACATTTTTATCGATGGGGCTTCTGGGCTCTGTTTCGAATAAGTGACGACGTGCTGGGGAATGCAGATCGATGGAGGGAAGCAACCGGGCTGGCCCAAAGCGAGCAACAGCCGAGTGGCTTGGACGGACGCATGGTGCATCTGACCTTTCAGCCTTACTTCTATGCGGCGATTCCGGAATCTGAAAGGAGCTCGGAAACACTGGTAGGAAGGGAGGAGACGGTTCGAGACTGTGCGGTCAAACTCTACCAGGTTTTGCTTCCCTTGGCCATTGACATCCAGGAGCATGGCTACAATGATGACGACGCCATTGATGACGAGGTGAAGAAACCAATCCTCCAGGAAGTGCTGCATCGGTCCTTGTACTTGGTCGGAGGAGGCGTAGGACCACGCCTGTCAGCCAAGGCCGTTCCATTGCATCGTGAGATGACGGACGAGGAAACTGGTCCAAGCACTCAAAAAGCAACCTTACCGGTACCGAGAGACAGTCATGCTGTGGTGGATCAGGGGCAGGATACTGGCAAGGGCCCTCCCCACTGGTACCAAGCTTATTGGAGGGAACTCGTCGTCTCCGCCGAAGCGGAATGTCTCATCCTGGCACCAGGTGAATCGAAGCACGAACGATACACAGAATCAGCCGTCCTCTTTCAAGCAAAACGATTGAGTATATCGCATCCCGAATCGACGAAAAGATGTCATGTGAGTGCCGAGGAGTGCGCGAAAGAGACCACCGAATCCTTGAGGAGTAATATTGTTTTGGACACGGTTCCATGGACCAACGGTGCCACATCGACGGAGTAGGCTGTGATCGTGCTGTTTTGCGCAATCTTCTGAATAATCATGATCGATCACCCTATGCAGGAGCCGAACATCTCGCGTGATCGTGACGCGCGAGCGAAAAGGATTGCCAGTGAATAAAGGCCCTTTTCGTCTGTGACGAGTGCCATCTGTGTAGGCAGGAAGAGGGGCAGCGGGCCACAAACAAGGCAACACAACAGCAACTAACTTAGTGCTGACTATCTAAAAGTAGCATTTTTTAAACCGTAGATTGTGCACTCTTTGTGTCTACATGACCAACTCTTCCTTGGTACTCAAGACCGTCTCGACAAGAACATCCCGAATATCAAAGTTGGCATCATCATCACTGTCGTATCCATCCAGCAACGCAACGTACTCGGTACGTCGTCGTTTGAGAATGGCCTTGTTGCGGGCCAAGACTTCGCGATACTTGGCACGCTCCATACGCTTTCCCTTGGTTTCTTCCAAATACAGTGCACGTTGACGTTCCTTGTCGGCCTTGTCGAATTGCTTTTCGTACTTTTTCAAGTTCTTTTGGACTTCTTCCACTTGCGTTTTCGAAAGGAGCGTTTCGCGAGGCCGCCACACAAACTGATAAAAGGCTTCGAACGATTGTTGATAGAGCTGCTTGCCTTGGAAACTCCACAGAATGTATCCATTGTCCATGGCGAATTTGAAGTGTCCACCCTCGAGTGGTTGACTGACCACTGTCGCAAGGGTACGACCCGCAGGGTCCCACGCCACTTGATTGGCTCGGTAATGCTCCTTCATGACAATAGTCCCTTCGTCCACATTGTAAAATTCCAACGTTCCACTGGCAGTATCACCCAAACTGGCGAGGATAATGTTGGAACCGGCCGGACTCCAAAAGATACCGGTACACTGTCGTCCTTCGAGCACGGTGACCTTGTGCAACTCGGGGTGTTTTGCCGGCAGTCTCTTTTCCTTGTTTCCCTTTTTGCCCTTGACCGAGATGGGATCGCCTTGTTTCATCATGTCGTAAAAGGAGACATCGACCTTGGTGGAGGATGGATTTTCGGCATGAATCATGGCAAATCTCGATCCGCGTGGCTCAAATGCCAGCGCCATGACGGCATCCTTAATGTCGAGCATTTCCACGGGGATTCCACTCTCATTGAGCCGGAAGAGTTCAATGTTGTTGTAGAGTGTCTTTTTGGATTTGGTGTGTCTGGTGACCTTGACTGCGAGGTATTCTCCTTCATTTTGCCATACCATGTTACACTTTGCGACATTGAATAGATTCTTTTGTCGAAGTTTCTTTCGACTGGGGACTTCAATCAAGTCGACGTGAGCAGGAGAGTTCCCACGTTCGGGGGCCTGAACGAAAGAAAAGCCAAACAGAGAAGTAACGACAAAGTAAGAACGAATTCCATCCAGCAGAACAAGGTTTTGTCAGTCTGTCATCCACTACTTACCCAGTACGCCAGAACATTGGCTTTGGGCGACCAATGGAATTCATGAATATCCGGTGCCAAAAGTGACTTTTTGTCGAGCAACCTCATGGTGGGCGTTTCAAAGATACTAATGAGTCCGTTGCCCATGCGTGCCAAGTACTTGTCATCGTGGGACCACAAAAAGGGTGGTGGCGGTCCATCTTGTGGAAAGTTGTCGGGATACAAGGGAAACGTTCGTAGCAAGAGTCCCGTGGCAACGTTGTAAATCTTGATGGCAGCCGGATCCTCGCGTCGTTCATTGTTGGTGAGGAGATAGGTTTCATGTGGACTAAAGAGTACCAGTTTGACATCGGGTGCTACAAATCGTCCTGCCTTGTCGTAGTTCTTGCCACTCCACAAGATGACTCCCTTGGAGGGCACCAATGTGGCAAGATAGGATCCCTTGGGAGACCAGTGACAATAGTACTCACACCATGCCACACCGGCGTCCTTTTCGCGAGCGCCATCGTAATCAATGACAGGATCATTGCGAGCATCAAACCAATGTACGACGGTTTCTCTTCCATGTCGAAGGATGAATTGATCTCGTTGATTGGGATCTTCGAGCCATTCCATGGCATTTGGTTTTTCCACAAACTCGGGCATTTGTGCTTCCTGGTATTCTTCCGTCTTTAAACGACGCAATTTGAGAGCACGCGTGTACAAACAGACACTGAGTTCGTGGTTCTTGTCAAACTTGTATCCTTCCAAGACTTCGACTGCATTTTTGGCTTCTTCCGGGGTTTCGTACTCGACCAAACAAAAGCCCAAGGTGGAGCCCTTTTCCTTGTCATACGGCATGTGTAAACCCGAAAAGTCAATGTCGGCATTTTCGGCCAAGGAACCAATACGACGGACCAACTTGAGGACCACCTTGGTCAGTTTCTCCACTTTGGCTTCGGGGACTTTGGGCAAGTTGGTAATGACCACGGAATCCTCAAACGTCTCGTGCAACGGCGGATAGTTGGGCTTGGGGTCCAAGGGAGCATCCGAAAAGTAACCATCGAGCTCTTCGGCCTCTTCAGCCAGTTTGTCTGCTTCTGACATTGTCATCTTGACTTTCTTCTTCTTCTATGCCTTCACTTTACTCGTTCGTTTGCAATGGCTGTTCTGTCTCTGTTACTTCAGTACCTTACGACTTCCTCTGGTCGAGTTGTTGCGTGTTGGGCCTCGTTGGAAGATGATGATGAAGTGAACGTTTCGGCCGTCCATTCCTTGGGCCATCAGGTTCTGAGCCAAACGAAAATGACGAAATCAAAATTTTGTAACAGTAAAATTTAAAAATGAAAAAATGAAGGCAAGATCCCTGAACCTCTCCACTTCTGGAGAACAAGCAATGCGAACAGGACCACTTCCTTCTTGGCAGGCTCCATGAGCTCTGGTGGTTAGGTTTCCAAGTGCGCAGTCTAGCTAGAGCCACAATCTTTTTGTTTGGACAAATCAATCAATCAACAAGGAGCATGATGTTTTCCAAGTTTGCCAGCAAGGTGTCTCTTGGCAGAGCTCGTCTGACAACCAGACTACCCGTGTCACGGAGTTTCAGTTCGCAACCTGTCAATTTTGACGACGATACTACTAGTACTGGGTACGCCGATGAAGCTACCATGCGATATGACTTGGCCGTGGCGCATCGTCTCACAGCCGATCACTCGGCCGATATGTTGGTTTGGAATCACATCTCGGCACGGTTCCAAGATGGATGTCTCATCACACCCGGTAACAAGCTTTGGAAACACATGCGCCCCGAAGACATGGTCTTTAGTTCCCACAATGTCACGGCCGATTTGATTCATTCCGCCATTTACGCCGCCGACAAAGATGTAGGCGCCATTCTTCATTGGCATACACCGGCAGCCACGGCCGTGTCCTGTTTGCCACAGGGATTTGTTCCAATGACGCAAGATGCGGCCTATTTTTACCAACGCGTCGCACGCTATCCGTGGGATGGAATCTCGGATGATCCCGCCGAAATACCCAAACTCATGGCGGCGGTGCAAGCGGCCAAACAACAACAACAACCGGATGGTAGTACCAATAATAATACACTACTCTTGGAACATCATGGGTTTGTTTGCTATGGGAAATCGGTCCCTGAAGTTTTTGTGCTGGCGTACTACTTCGAACGCGCCTGCGAGATTCAGTTGCGACTCATGGCCGCGTGCGGTGGAACTCTGCCACCGCCACCGCCAGTCCATGTCATGGAAGAAGCCGCCAAGACCAGTTTCAAGGAGGAATTCTCACCGGGATTTGCCGAGTGGGAGGCGCTCTGTGAGGATTTCAAATTTTGATGGATGGGTGGAGTGGATTGAATGCACTATACAGGTAATGTTGTCAGTAAATCAGGAGTTCTCAGAGCAATCGCAACAATGGCCCCTTCCTTGCTCAAAGCTGTAAGGAATCCATTTGTAGTGCTTTAGCGCTCTTAGCAAGCAACATCCCTTATCCGCAGAACTCGTGAGTGTTGCATGAATCATACCCAAATGTTACCGTCCCGTTCATGCCCCTCGTGACCATATGAAACCAATACCCAGGCCAGCAACAATGACATTTAGTGTTGCTTTTCAACTTTGGGATTGCTGTTCTTGTGCTTCCAGCAATTTGTTTCCTGAGAAAACCCAAAGATGTTGTCCATAGTGGGCCCAATCTTGTCAGACAGGGGCACTTCCACATAGTTCAAGTTGGGGTAGAGTTCCATGGTCTGTCGTACACGCTTGGTGTAAGTCTCATAGAAGTCCACCCACATGGCTTCAGTGGCTTTAGGATGAGGTGTGAGGCCCTTTTGCCGGCAGCCGGGGGACGTAGCAAATCGTCTGTCGAGAGCGCTCCAGCGCTTCATCGACGAATACCAGGTTGATGCATTTCGAATCTGGAGCAAGACGGTGCCGTACGGGTATGCCTGTCCGAAGGCTTCCAGTCCTCCTTCCAATGCAGGAAAGTAGCATTCAGGATCATTCTTGTCAGCATTGAACAGATTGATCTGGGCAAAGACACGCCAGTGTCCACAATTCTCCAGAGGAGGGCGTTTATCCAACACATTGGCTTCAAAACACTTGCCAATATTCATGTGGTCTCCGTTGTGTTGTCGCATAGTCCATTGATGTGATGCAGTATTCATTCCCATGGCACAATTAAAGTAGTCAGTGGCCGTCGTCGTGCCACTCTTTTCCATGGTTGCCACAAGAATGGGGAATGTGATATCGTTGGGCCTGGGAAGCCTTTCAGTAATAGCTTGGACGCCCGATGGCATTTTTTGTTTGTACAGGGGTATGTTGCCCTCAGTCGAATCCACCCAGCACAGGGGATCAATTCTCAGCTTTGTTTCTAGCTGATCACCAATGACCGTTGCTGGCTTGGTCAGGTCAATTTCGATCAATTGCCATCCTGCATGTCTCGCTACAAAATCACGCAAGACCTGATGGTACCTGTTGTAAAAGCTCTTGTAGTGGCCAAGATTGTGTTCAGTAGGAAACCTGCCACCATGAGATGGGTTGCACCATGTGGACCACCGTTCATGAATGTCATAGGGGAGCCTTCGGAACCATTCTCTAGGTTGTTGTATCATGTTGATGATTGTTGCATTGGGCATTGCCTTGTACATTGCCTCCAGAGCACCTGGATACAGGACCGGTTCAAAGCAGACTCCCGTTGCATTGATGGCTCTCGGGGAAGGTGGTTCATACCAGTCTAAGTCCTGCCAGATATTGTAGTTGCCACAATTTTTCATAATGGGTTTGCGAGTCTGGATATTGGACTTCATGCATTGGCCGATTGGCCGGCGAAAGTTACTTTCTCGGTCTAAGTTGGTCCAATAGCGTCCAAAGTTACTGGGTGGGTGTCCAGCACAATCAAAGTACCGGGGAAGAACGGGTTGGTGTGTGCTGGGTAGACTCAGTGAAATGATGGTTGTGTTGGGCGTGTAGAGGTTGTGTGGTATTGTCTCGATTGTGGTTCTTCCATCCAACGGTGTCTCTTCCTCCTCACCATTGGTGTCTTCCTCATTGTCGCCTTGTTTGGGGTTTTTGAGTGTCTGTTCTATAATAGCACCCACATCATTCAGGTAGTACCGGTATCCACAGCTTGCCATGACAAACAAGACACATCCTAGGAGCAACACAGCCAGTCTGGCAATGCTCTGATTGTTCGACAGGGTGGAATCCGACACCTCCACATCCTGTTGCCCTTGGTTCTTTCTTCTGCTTCTTTTCAGTCTCATTGCTGCGTTATTATTAGCTTGTCAACAATACCATGCCCACAACAATAAATTATTAGCAACAAATGCAGAAACTCTTGTGCGGCGTGGGAAATTTTGGGTCATACAGTCATACGGTACGTTTTAGCAAAAAGTGCGTGAATGTACTTGGTCACTTACTTTGAAACGAAAATGACCCATGTTGACTCTCCAGACGGTACTTAAAGATAATTGGCTACTAATCGTGAGAACGTCCTCAAGAGGAAGCAACAAAGGATCTTTCTTTTTTGTTGTCGTGCTTGTTCAACAGGAAGGGAAATCCTCGACGAGAAAGACGAGGGCAGACACAACAGAGGTATACTAGCTAGCAGCCACTCAAAGCAACGACAAGCCACTAGCCGGCTATATCCAACAGTCAAGACTCATTCAATTTACCATTGGCAGGTACTTTAGTGTGTTTCTCTCTCCTGTTCCTTGATATATCACAATCATGTCGTATGACCCCAAGAAAGAAAAAGAACACTTTGGCTACCGCCAGTATCGTGCGTTGATCAAGGTGGCATGTGTACTCTTGGTTGCGGTGGGTGTTGTGGTTGCCGTACACATGCAAAACAAAATGGTGGATGGTATGGACAGTAATAAAAGTAAAGAAGAAAAGACTACACAACAAATATTGCGTCCCAAGGTGACGGAATCCTTTGTGACCGAACCACAAGACACGACAACGGAAACAGCAAGCACTGGTAGTGAAACAAGTGAAAAAGCAACAACTCCCATTGGGAAAAAACAAGATGAAGATTTGGGCACGTTTGAAGACAAGGAAAATCCCGCTGCCTTGCCCGATCTCCCCTTCGACGATGACAGGCCCATCTTTGTGTTGAGTTTGCCCTTTAATGGAGACTTGGTCGTGCCTCGCTACTTTGAGTGTGCAGGTGTCAACAAGGTTGGACGGTACTGGACCCATCCCGATCCCACTGAAGTTGTGCGGCGACCACTTGGCCAATGTCTCCAGTTCAATATGGAACAAATGATGAACAAGTCCAGTACCATTCCCGTCTCGTCCATCATGGAGGGATGTGGAAGACAATCCGTTTGGATGGAACTACAGTACATTCACCCACCCCTCTCCAAGGGAAGCATCCTACGCAGCTACCAATGCTTTGATCCAGTCCTATTCCCAGGAGCGTTGGAAAAACTATACAAGGCGTATCCCCAAGCCATTATCGTCACGGTCCAACGAAAATTCTTTCCACAATTATGGCTTGATGCGCTCCCCAAAGATATCAAAACACACTGGAAAAAGTGGTGTAATCCGACACATGACGATGCCTTTCCCAAAAGCTCCAAAATTTCCGCCAGTGCTGATGCCAAGTACATTGAATTCTACAACAATTACTACAAAAAACTGGAAGAATTCGCCGAAAATCATCAAGGATGGGGCCACGTATCGATCAATCTCGATGAAGATCCCGATGTTACGGCCAAACAATTGGAAGAAGAACTCAAATTGCCACAAAAGTGCTGGAAGGATTCCGTCGAAGGAGAAATGGTGGATGCCGCAGGATCGGCACGACGACCCATGGATATCTCCTTTCCCGTATTGGTCACCAGTCTGCCCAAATCCGGTGCCGCCACAGCACAACAATATTTTGCCTGTGGATTGGGTGACTGGACCGCTGCCCATCAGTGGACCACGCCCTCCGATTCGACACCCGACAATCCAATGCGGGATGTGCCCATTGGACAGTGCTTGCAACAAAATTTCAAAGTCGATCACAAAAAGGACGTTTTCAAGGGATGTGGCCATGCACGCATTTGGTCCGATGTGGGCTATTTGAGATCGGCACAAGGGAAATGTTACTATCCCTCCTTGGATGAAGGTTTTATGGATGCCTTTGCCAAATATTATCCGCATGCGACCATCTTTCATGCCGTACGTGATGCCGGAGAGTGGCTTACATCGACCAGACTCAACAAGTTGCCGGGACGGTGGAGTGAGGCAGAGGAGTGTGTGGGATTTCCGGATGATCCAAAAGAAGATGCTACATGGCATGACTTTTACAACGACTACACACAACGTATTCGCAAATTTGCAGCGTCGCATGTCAATATGACCTACATTGAAGTTCCTCTCTCGAATGATGGTGCACAGCATCTTCAAAGCATCTTTGGATTCCATCCAAAATGCTGGGGTACGAAAATGGCCCGAGAAATTGATCAGTAGGGGATTTGCTTGGCCAAGCTGTGTAATTTGTTGTTGAAGGTGGTTCACTGGTACTCAAAAAGAATAGTACACTCCACATGTATGGGTCTAGCTAGTTCCTAGTTCTACTTCGTTTTTTATGTCGTATTGATGTCTTGAAGTGAAGTGGTGTCAAGAAGAAAGGATCCTTGCTTGGCACTGGATTCCTTCGTGTACATGCACGGTGTCTCCCAGAAGGAACCACACCATCGGCTAGGAGCGAAAGTTGACCAACGACATAGAAGAGAACCCTAGCTTCCTGATTCGTAGTCCAAAGGAGAAAAACCTGCCAACCTTGAGATAACATGGGTCTCATCTTGATGTGCGGTAGCCCTTGTTAATGTTTGCATGACCCCAGCATTCAGCAGCAAAACCGAATGTTTCATGCAACACAGTACCGGCACTTGCCAGAGGGATATCCAGGTATGATATCGTAGGATGCTCCTGTGCAAAGTCCTCAATTAGTTTGTCATGGCCACGATAGAAGTTCTCCCACGCTGATTGATTGGAATGTGGTGGAGGGAAGATGTTGCGGCACATCTGGCTACTGGACCAACGCTTCAGTAGATCACCCCACCGATTGGAGCTGTCATACCAACTTTTGAAATTACGACGAAGATGCAAGATGGTCCCATAAGGATATGCCTTGGCAAACTCCTCCAGTCCGCCATGTAGAGTAGGGTAGTAACATGTAGACTGCTTAATGAGGAATATTCCAATGTCAGAGAAGACCCTGGCATTGCCACAACGATGCAGCAACGGTAGACCGCTGTTCAGGTTTTCCATCATGCAATGACCAATGGTGGTGCTTTTGAAGTTAGTTAGGTTCAGTGTCTGTTGGTGAGCAGATGCCCACTGCCCCAGTCCACAACGAAAGTACTCAGAGATTGTTGTGGTCCCACTCTTTGGCAGAGCAGTCACCAAAATGGGGAATCTCAACTCGTTCAACAGCAAACCTGTTGTTGTCTTCACTTTGTAGTCCCCAGTTCCATTCTCACCCTCAAAAGCATCATCATCACCCTCATCTGGGATCTCTGGAACCTTGGCAGCAAAGGAGTTGGTCCAACATTTCTCGGGAATCCCCAATTGCGGCATGAGTCCAGCCGCAATTGATTCTTGACTATTTCTGAGATCCAATTCAATGTAGGTCAACGAAGGATGCTGTTGCAGGAAGGATCGCAATCTGTCTTGATAATTGTTGTAAAATTGAACATAGTTGTCTTGGTTGTCATGTTCAGGAAATGAAATGCCGTGACTGGGATTGCACCACTCCGCCCAATGCCAAGGGAAATCCTTGGAAAGAGTTCTATACCAATCCTGTGGATCTTGTACAAAGTTCAGGATGGTTGCATTGGGATGAGCTTGATAGAGCCTTTCCAATGCACCAGGGTACAGAACTGGATCAAAGCAGCTTGCAGTTTTGTTGTTGTGGAAGACTGTGTGGGGACCAGCTAGATGCTGCAGATCCATCCAGACATCGTAGCTTCCACACCCATGCGTGATACTTCTATTCCCTTTCAGCTCTAAATTCCTCTTGAAGCATTGGCCAATGGGTCGTTGACCTGGAGATTTGCTCCCACCTGGTTGGGTCCAATATCGACCAATTTGGTTTGTTGCCATGCCAGCACATCGAAAGAACCTTGGCAGTACCAGGTCAGCATGGTTTGGGAGACTCATGACAAACAATGGCACGGACGGCGGTGCACTACTGAAACTCGTTCTATGCTTGTCGGTTGCTGTTGCAGGCTGACGCATTATTGATTCTACAAGCACATGGGGAATTTCTTGCGTTTGACGATGGTTGCCCATGTTCCTGCGAATCTCGATCTCATTTTGAAAGATTGCGACGGCATTATGCTTGAACCGATATCCAGCCAAGAGACAAAGGGATGCAATAACGCCCGCTAGATGTCGAAGCCTGCGATCTCTCATAGTTTTAGTTTCTCCAATTTTAGAAGATGCATGTACATGCTTCTGATGAATCATGTAGTCAACCTCGTTTACTGTATTGTATGGAGGCGCAGGAGGCGAGCCGTTGGAAGCAATTTTCGCAAATTTGTGAGAGGCAAAAAATGGGTCATGAAAGTCATTGAGGCATCAAAGCCAGTGACTCAGCGGGAGTCGAGTCACAGCATCCTTCCACCTCCAAGCTTCAAGGTTGTGTGTTGGAGTTGTGCCGACTCAAAACTCGCTGAATCTATCGAATTACTACGCTCAATGAGGGAAGCAACATGTTGACCACATCGCAAAGCACCCAAGGGCTCGATAATACTGGTACCGAAACTCGCACCACCCACGGTAAAAGCAGATCTATAAAAAACCAATCCTCCAATGGAAGTAACGCTGCCATCAATAAAGCCTTCTTCGGTGCCCCCAAATTTCATCTCTTTGCCGGCGTCTTTGTATCGCTTTGTTTGTTGGCTGGTTGTGCGTTCATGATTGCTCAATATGAAGTTAAGCAGGATATGGGTACGAAGGGCGAGCATCGCAAGCAAGAACTGAATGCTTCGGAACCTGGCAGACCCTTGCCAGAAAACGTGACCAAGAAGATCAGCATCAAACAACAACCATTTCCCAAACCTCAGATCAGCATCAAACAGCCCTTTCCCAAACCTCTCTTTGTGATGAGTCTTCCGAACCATGCTGACCTGGTGCTGCCACGATATTTTCGATGTGCTGACATGCCAACAGCACGCATTGGTCGATATTGGAGCCGTCCAAGTGGTGGCAAGTCCACGGGTAGTAGTAGCAAGTCGCCTGGAAAGAGCAAGTCTCCAGGTCGACGATCCATTGGTGAATGCTTTAAGAGAAATATGGATCTGAAAGGGAATAGAAGTATCACGCATGGGTGTGGGGACTTTTATGCGTGGTTGGATCTACAGCATTTGGCTGGTCCCTATACAATGTTTCACAAAAACAAAACTGGAAGCTGCTTTGATCCAGTTCTTTACCCTGGTGCATTGGAGAGGCTCTACCAAGCTCATCCCAACGCAACTATCCTGAACTTTATACAAGATCCACAGGATTGGTATAGAACTCTTTCCAAGGATTTCCCTTGGCATTGGGCAGAGTGGTGCAATCCAAGTCACGGCAATTCATTTCCTGAACATGACAACCAAGACAACTATGTTCAATTTTACAACAATTATCAAAACAGATTGCGATCATTCCTTCAACAGCATCATTCCTTGACCTACATTGAATTTGATCTCAGAAACAGTCAAGAATCCATTGCCGCTGGACTCATGCAGCAATTGGGGATTCCTGAGAAATGTTGGACCAACTCCTTTGCTGCCAAGGTTCCAGAGATCCCAGATGAGGGCGACGATGATGCTTTTGAGGGTGATACTAGTAATGGAACTGGGGACTACAAAGTGAAGACAACAACAGGTTTGCTGTTGAACGAGCTGAGATTCCCCATTTTAGTGACTGCTCTTCCAAAAAGTGGGACCACAACAATCTTTGAGTATTTCCGATGTGGCTTGGGGCACTGGACAGGTGCCCACCAACATACACTGAACCTTACAAGCTTCAAGAGCACTACCATTGGCTATTGCATGATGGAAAACCTGAACAGTGGTCTACCGTTACTGCATCACTGTGGCAATGCCAGAGTCTTCTCTGACATTGGAATCTTCCTTGTTGTGAAGAATTATTGTTACTACCCAACACTTCATGGTGGCTTGGAAGAGTTTGCCAAGGCATATCCTTATGGGACCATCTTGCATTTGCGCCGAAATGTCAAAAGTTGGTATGACAGCTCCAATCGATGGTCAAATCTCCTGGATCGCTGGTCCGGCAGCAACAAGCTGTGTCATGATATCTTTCCTCCTTCAAAGTCCAACCAATCAGCGTGGGAGAAGTTTTACGGACACCATGATCAAATTGTTGAGAACTTTGCACGAAAGCATCCCAACATTTCGTATTTGGATATCCCTCTTGCAAATGCCAAGACTGTGTTGCATGAAACATTTGGTTTTGCTCCGAGATGCTGGGGACATTCCAACATCAACAAGGCAACCCCAGCATCCAGTTGAGAACATCTTCTGAGCTCGGCATGCACCATCATCTCTATTTTGTGATGCTACGCCAATTGGAGCCTGAGACGAAATCCCGCAGTACGCTCAGCCCATGGTGCCTTGTGTCTCATTTCTCTTTTCTGGAGCAGACGTGATGCAAAGCAGAAGTTAGGATGCATCCGAAGGGTCAGTTCGTGCAATGTTGTAGACAAGGATACCGCTCCTTAGGCTGTGGGGTTTGTAACAGGATCAAGGCGGGGAAGCCCGTGCTAATGTCGTCGCTATATGAAATCAGCCTTGCGAAGTTTGTGAAACAGCAGCAGACACGCACCTTTGTTGCGGGTTATCACTGCATGCTTGGCTGTTTGGTCAGCTACGCTTATCTCTAGAGTTAAGCGGCAGGTCTGGATGGTGATATCCTTTTCGATTGAGTAGTCTAGCTCTCAATTGCTTGGGTGCAGGCCATTTCCGTTTCATGGATCCAGATCGACTCAGCGGACTGTTCCTCAGAAGTGGTCCTTGCTTGTGGCCTTGATCCTTACGAGCCAAGCTAGGAAGAATTAGATTTGCCTGTAGCTCGCGTGAGATCGTTCCTGCTTCTAGCTAGCTAGGCAGCTAGTGACCATCGTTTGGTACTGGTATGGTGCAGCGACAACCGTTTTCTCTCTGCGAATTCTCTCGGCTTTCAATAGAATTCTATTAGTACACGTTTTCTCTCGGCGAACGCAACGCACCGAAATCCCGTTTCACCAGTCGTGACAAGCAAATCCACGTCTCAAGGATCTCCCTTGCAGCGAAGCATCTCAACACCAGACCCAAAAGCGAGACCTTGTGGACTGTTCAGAAAGCCACCAGAGCACATCCATTCATCCGTTCATCCATTCAAAGCCGACATTGTGAGCCATGGCCCGTATCAAGTCAGACGGCAGCATCGTCCATGGGACGACCCTTTCTGAGAAAGCCAGGAACCCGGCACAGGCGATTGGTGACCAATTCTTCAATCTCCCTTCACATTGGCAAGCCCTGCTCGTGGCAGTGATTGTCTTTGGCGTCCGTCATTTTCTCAATCCCAATCCATTCGCCGACGGAAAGATCCCAGCAGCCTCTCTCCAGCCCCAAGAGCACTGGAAACGGATCGCCAATGACGATAGCTTTGTCCGGTCCATGACGGAGCACCTTGGCTCGACGACACACCGAGAGGGGCACAAAAAGTTCATGACAAATGTCAAAAACGGAGACCGCATCAAAGACGATGTGGACATTATGTTGCAGCGTCTTGACTTTGGCGGACCCGATGGTCATGTCGCGGAACGAGGTGACTGGTCCGATATCAAATACGTTCAAGGAACCCGCTGTTCCACCACTCGATCCGCCCTGACGGCCTACTTCTGTGGGGCCGCTGTGGCTGAGAATCAAGACAAGGCTTTGGAACCCTTTCAGCGCAAACATGCTAATTTTGGAGTCCAACAATTTGCTGATTTCCTCTCCTGTCGCCACAAACAGGGCCAAACGCGCCGGAGCCACCGTCGATCGGTCTATCGCATTGGCATTGGATGCAAGGATATCCGCGCTGGGTATTCGCACGCCTTTAGCATCGTTGCCCAACCAGACGGCACCTTCTATTGGTTGCAGTCTTTCATTGGGCATTACTCTCTCCCTCAGTGGATGAACCAAATGACGGCAGCGGGGCCTCACACGGCGCATCTCACTTTGGAGGAAATGTTGGCCAAACTAGAGCGAGTGGAACGCCTCATGAACATTCAGGGTTGGACGGCGGATGCCAATCAAGCTTACTACGAGCTCTTTGGTGTGGACAAAGAAAAAGAGGCCCTGCAACGAAACAAGTCGCCTGTCAGGGATGCTTGGAAACCCAGTCATCGGCTTCAATACTTTTCCTGGGATGAAGCATGTGAGTACCCCGAGCCACCATTGGAAGGAGGAGGAGAAAGAGAAGGAGAAGCATCTCCAGAACCGTTGACGGGCGCCGACGACAAGGAAGAGACGAGCAGCAGCAGCATCAGCACAACGCCCAAAGGACGCGGCAAAGATTTAGGATACGCGGATCAATGCATCTACGAGAACCTCCTCCAACAGCTCCAACTCCACGGCGCCGCGAGCGGCCCTGGTCGCCAAGCATCCAAGCAAGAGATGCCAAAGTTGCTGGACTAGCTACCGGCATCGATTGGCAGTGGAGTTGTGGTTCTTGTCCCGTCTTCTATTCCGGCGTCATCGTCGGGGTCGTCACCCAAGCTGGACCAGGAACTTTTGAAAAAGGAGTGTCTAATGAATTATCTTTGTATGTATGTCTCGAGCTAAATGTAAAATGTGTTGTTGCTGCCAACCAAAATCAGTGGCGCCCCTTTGCTGAGTGTTCTTCCAAACTTCAAAACCCAAAATGCCGATGCCGCGGCGTCTAAATTTTTCCTTCTAAGCGGCGGCGTTGGCTGCTAGTCGCGAGTCGCGGAGCTCATCTAGCCGGCCGCGAATGTCCTTGGCACGGTCTTCAAAATACTTTCGATCCTTGGTGGGGCTGGAAGCCCTGCTGCCGTTCAAGGATCCCTCCCCGTCGTGCGTCTTCAATCGGCGCGTGGATTTGGGAGAGACGCTGGTGGGTCGAAGTGGACCCTCATGTTGCAAACTCTTGGTCTTGCGCAAGCCTTTGGGAGAGGATCGCTTGGGAGAAAGAGAAGCCGCCATGCGGTGGTGGTGCCGTTTGGGTTCTGGCTCTCGGTTTTCTTTGGGGATAAATTTGAGGAACATGTTCTTGTCGTCTTTGAATTCCGAGCGGTCAGTGGTATTTGCAGGCTTGAAGAAGTTGACCTTTTCATTCATCTTCCTGACCATGTGGACAGCTTCTCTCCGCGACTTGGCAATCCTCAATCCCATCATGGCATCCACGGCTTCAGAGGCAACAAAGCAGCTGTTAAAGACTCGGACAAGTCCACGACGGTCTTTCACCTCCACGTGTTGTTCCAACAGGCCGACCCTGTCCCATGGCGAGGGATACATCTTTTTTACTTGGTGAACTTGCATTGGCAAGTTTTTCTCAAAGACATAGACCTCCTGGTCGGAATCTTCTAGAACCAATGAAGTGCCATTCTTGCTGGTAGCGGCATGGTGAGCAAAGAAGCTAAACTCTTCCGCAATGCTTCTTCCCACTTTGAGTGCTTCTTCTCGTGTGACGGGGCTGGCTGGTTCTGTGAAACCTTCTGCTGTTTCCGGTTGTTGCAGTCTTTGCAGCTGCAATATGTCAGTAAGTGTTGTGACGGCATCGCTTCCCAGAAAGGATCGGGCAATGGTCTTATTTCCAACCAAACGGTCTTGCACTAGGCTTTCTGCGAACAACTGGTTCTGGAAGGTCTCCGCAACGGTTTCCAGCTCGAATGACTCGGGGCTCTCAGGCTTGTAGGATCCTGTGGAGCCGTTCAGGCATCGCGCACTGGAGAATTTCTTGTCAAGCATCATGGTGGTTGTTTTATATGCTTTCTTTTTCGATTGAAATGCTTTTTTTGTTTTTGTTTTATGGCAATTGTGAGCTGATGTTTGATGCAGGCAAGTGCTTTTCTTTGTTCGTGTCTCGCAAATGGCACCAGTACGTACACGTACCGCTAGTACCGGTACCAGGTACCATGCCGGTATCTCAGCATTGTTCATACACGCGGGTACCTGGTACCTCGTACAGTTTGTACGGTGTATGTGCTGTTGTTGAGTTGAGCAATCCGGCAAAGGTTGAAGAAGCTCTTTGGTTCTTTTTCTCTCGTAAAGTCAGGCATCAGGCACCAATGTGGTCATTGCTGCACTTCGCTTCGTTCTGTTCAGGGCTTTGGTTCTATCTGTTCAGCTGTTCAGTGTTCAGAGCTTTGATAGAGAGTGCTGTGCAGGATAAACATGGCATTGGGCATTGGGCATTGTCTTTTTTTATTAAGATGAGAAGTTAATGAGATTATTTAGTGTCACCTTTACCAGGGAGGGATGGGTTCGCAGTTTACTATTATACACCTACCATACTCAGAGTAGTGAGTATTAATAGTACCGGGAGAAGTACACGTACTTGGAGCCAACGTGCGAACGAGAAAACCGGTTGGAACAGTCACTTCCATGACAAAATTAATCTTTATCGATCGACGAGCAGAATTCCAGAACTTTAACGCTCGGAGTCCCAAATTCTGGGAGACCCCACTCCCAGATTCTGGGAGTGGGGTCTCCCAGAATCTGGGAGTGTGTACAGGTAGGTGTGGTAAATATTGGGTTAGAATTCTGTTTTATTCCCGCATCTACCTGAAAATTCGGTCTTCCAGAAAAATCCAAGCCTACATCGTACTGTACTAATAGGCTTTGTTGTTGATGAGCTCCCAGTGGATGGCACGAAGCAGTGCAGTGGTAGCTGCCGCTTGTTGCATTAGAAGAAGTGGTTGTTGTTTCATTAACGGTAGAGGCGTCGTCGCTCCGACGTGTAAGAGGATGCGTCATGGTCGCGAAGTCATGCAACAGTAGCAGTAGGTCGACGGCTCAAACCGCAGCTTCATTCTTTCCTTGGTGGCCCGCCGACCGAAAGACTGTCGCTCCAGTAGATTGAGCTCTGAGGCTTGTTGCAAGTCGCTCCATGGAAGAGGAGGCGTCATGGTCGCTCCATGAAAAGGCTCTGTGGAAGTATGCAGAGTCGTCGACCGAAAGGAAGAAAGAAGGAAGTGTCGCTCCGTCGAACGGATCGTCGAACGGGTCGTCGACTCGCTGCCACTGCCGCTTCAAGTCTGACCAACAAGAGGAACATAGTCATGGTGGAGACGTCTTCAAGAGGAGCCGCTGTAAAGAGGAGATCATCTTGATAGAGTAAGCAACTGTGCTAGTAGGTACCAGGTACTAGTACTAACCATGAACTGTAAAGGTACGGTAGAAACTTGATGACTCCCAGAATTTGGGAGTGGGGTCTCCCAGAATTTGGGAGTGGGGTCTCCCAGAATTTGGGAGTGGGGTCTCCCAGAATCTGGGACTCCGAGCATTAAAACTGCAGGTCTCAATCCCTTAATCCCTGACCTATAGCTCTGATATAAATTTTATGCAGTCACAAAAAGCTTTCGGGTGGGTGTCACTATTAATACCGGTATGCATATGGGTACTGGTGTGATTGAGTTCTCCAAATAGTTAAAGAGATGTTGCCGAGGAAAGGAACTGTTAAAACCCTATTTCAATTTTTACGTCATTGACTACAAAACATTATTTAAGTAGACTGCTACCTGGTACTTCCAAAAGATTCAATCGGAAGGCTCATTGCCTCATTCATAAACGGCTAGCTCCTGCATTTTTTGATTTATTTGTGACCCAGCAGATCTTACATGTAGATAACATTCATGAAGCAACAAACACAGCTCAAACAGTCTGCTCAGGGGAGATAGAAGGGAAACACGCGATTAGGCTATTGCTGCCTCCAACAAAGATCAATTCCAGAGCCCAAACCCAACTGGGGTCGAGGCAACAAGTTAGATATCAAAAGCAAAAAGCCTCTGAAAAGCTTGCTCAGCAATACAGATTCGCCTTGAGGAATCAATTGGCTGCGTTTAGAAATTGAAGTGGCCGGGCAAAAATAGCACATGCAGTATATGCATGCAGTAGCCAGCCCTCGTTGAAACAGGCTATTAGTGATTCCCCAACACATTATTAGATATTCTATTACAAACGCTGAATCCAGCCTGGAGCAACAACTACATGTCTGAGGATTCATGAAGGAAAAATTGTTGGCGTGCGGCCCCAGTGAGGTTGGTCGATTCGATTATACCTGTATGCTTTCCTGATGCATGAAGAATTGGAAACGAATTTCCCACCGACTTCAGCTTCGCTCAGTTAGGTCAGGTCGTTTCTTTGTAGCTAGCTAAACCGAGGAGACTAGTAGCAGAACGAATTCAATTCTCCAAGCAATAATATCGGCCCCTCGTGGGATCCTTTCAGCCTCGGTCACTGGGTACTCGGGACGAATTGAATTTCATAGTTTCTTAAACACAGGGAAATCGAAACAGTAAAAAATGAACCGTTTTTCGAATCCTTTAGATAAATGTGAACTTCATCTACGTTTTTGATTTTTAAAAACTTGTACACACTCAAACAGCCGAAAAGTTACCACGGAATGAAAGCCTGCTATGTGTTTTAGCCATTGGACGGTGCGCTGGTACCGGTACCGGTACCGGTACCAAAGAGGCGAGTAAACAACAAACAACAAACCCTTTGGGCATCCAGCGTTACCGGCACATCGTACCCAATCCTTGCATTGTCACTGGACGCGAGTCAACCAAACAACCCGATTCCGGACCTTGCAGGCGCAGCAACTCAAGCACGCAAAGCAAACCCATGGATATTGTATCTTTCGTTCAGTCAATTCACTGTCTCGGCCAGTCCTCTGGCAGGTTGCTGAGTTGACACCACCAGAGCCAAAGATGCAAGATCAATCAGATAGATGACGACAGGATAGCTAGCTCGCAACGAGAGCGAACAACCTGGATATGCTCAAAAAGAATGAGATTTGTAGCGGTACCAGCACCGCGAGCTGGATAGTAGCCTGCCTGCCTACCACGAGTATCCCAATCAACAAGAGAAGCATTCACTGTAGACAAGAGTGGTAACTACTGGCCACGCTGAGCTCCAGAAGAGATGGTGGTCGGAGAAAGGCAGCTTTCTGTTCCTTGAAACGCATAATCAAAGCGCAGCCTGCAGCCTATAGCGCTAGCTAGTACGAGCTACAGCCTACAGTACTCAAGTCTCAAGTCCAAGTCTCCAGGCACTTCTATTGTCCATTGTCCACAAACTTTACGTTGATTCGATTCGATTCAGTACCATACCACTGTTGTACCGGTACTGTACTGGTACCAGTTCTTTTACCTCGGCAGTCTTGCTGCCAGAGCCCTCAACCCCTTTAATTGTTTTTCCTGCTACGGTGGTCCCTGCAGGTATAAGGGTAGGGTTAGAATACAAATAAGTCAGCAAAACTAAATAGAAGGTATCCTAGCTAGGATGGTGCTTTTAAAAATCAGCTAAAGCTTTTACATGCATCCTAGTAGGGGTTTGCTTCTACCAGGAAAAACTCTAAAGCCAGCGAACGCTATATAACTAGATTTAGCTAGCTAGGGTATCTGCTTCAGCTTCTATGGGAATCTGTTCTAGCTAGGGGGGATCTACTTCTAGCTAGCTAAGCGCAAGCTAAGCACTAGCTAAGCACTAGAGGTATCTGCTTCTAAGCAACTGGAACCTGTGGAAATCGCGGTATCTTGTCAGTCGTGCTTCCGATTTTGTCTAATTTTGAAATAAGACAAGATTGAAAACACGGTTTTGTCCTAATTCTCAATCTTTTCTTCAAATCTTGTCCTATAAGCCGGATTGGCTCTTCCGGTCTTTTCATATAGGACAAGGTTGTGTCTCTAAATCTTTCATTTGTCCTAAGTCTTCAAGCCAATTTTCAATGACACTACTAGTAGCTATTACAAGACGACTACGACCTACTCCATCTATCGACAGCTAGAGGCTTTGTTCTTCTTCTTTATCTTTGTTTCAAGCGCTTCTTTCTTTCATATCAATGTATGAGGTATTTCTTTGTTTTGCTAGCTGATAGATGTGATCTCTAAAAACTTTCAGGCATCTCGAAGGCACCAAGCTCCGCGGGTTCTAGGTCTCGAGTAAGCCAAGCTCGATGTCTTCTTCCAATCGCTTTTTTGCTTCTGATCCATCCCATTCCAGGTAACCATGAGCAGAGAATTTGTTCACAACATTGTTTGTGAGGAAATTGCTCAATGCAGCCTTGTCATCATCGGTTCTAGAGAGTGCCGCTTCACAATCTTTCAAAGGCTTGAAAGTCGTGTCGAGAAGTTTTGTACCCATGAAGAGCATATCGGACGGCTTGTAAAGATCTACTGGTTGGCATTGCTTTGTCGGGCTGTCCGGAATACATTGTGATAATATCTTTCATCAAAAGCGCTCTAGCTTTGCTCTTGAGCCAGGATTCTTCGCATCTGGTGGGTCTCGTCCAATGGGACTTCCAACTGCTCATCCTTAAGGATGTCGGGTGGTAATGGAGGAGGAGTCCTCGAATTCTTGGTGGTTTACGTCGCGGCATGGTTTGTTGTGTGTGTTGTTTGTTGCTGTTGCTGTCAAACGACCCAACGAACTTCAAGAACTGTGAGAGCTAAAAATCTAGCTCTCCAAGAAAGAATTGAAGAGAGGGATACACGTAGAAATCCTACTACGAGCAGGCCTTGCTGGCTTAGGTGACCTCTGAATTCAGAATTCTGCCTCCAATTTTTTGGCGGCCCAAAGGTGCCACAATGGTTTCAACCCGAAGTGGAAAGAAGAAACAAAGGCTGATCCTGGTGGAGGGTCTGTTGCATCGTCTACTGTTTGCAGTAGACCAAGGTTACCCGCATTTGTAATCAAGTCTCTTGCAACTACATTCAACGAGAGTACGGAGGAATTACAAGCTAAAGGGCCCAAAGTGCTGCAAAAGCTTCTCGACAAGCAAACTCGGACGACAAAGCTTTGTACGGAGAAGTTGGCTCGGCTCTTTGTACCAAGATTAGCAACAAGGTAAACAAGTGGAAATGTTGTCACAGATCAGTGGCGGAGCAGAGTATTGCTGAAGCTAAAATTCCAGAAATGCCCACCAAGAAAAGAAAGAACAGGTTGAGAAAACAGATCTTCGATCAGCTCAAAGGAAGAGAAGATGAAGATGACGAACTGCCTGTTCCAGCAGTGATCGAGACGCCCACCAAACTACCAAGAAGAAGCAGGAAACGCAGGAAACTCCGAAGTCAACACCAACAAAGCAGCAAGGGATCGCCAAGATGAAGAAATCTACCCCAACAAAAGATCTTGCTGCCAGTCTCGACAATTTGAACTTAGGCAACAGCAACTCTAACATTCGTACGTGCTGAGAAATGGGATAATGTTTGTTCTTGGCTGTTCTCCTCACTGCCTTTTGCTTGTTTCTTAGTTCCAATCCAAGTCGATATTGAAAATCTGGCAAATAATGGGTCACTTCAGGTCTACGAGCTCAGCCAGATGCTTGAGGGTGTGGGCGACCACAAGGATATCTCTATTATGGTACGTATTGTTCTTCTATTGGATCTCCGCTGGATTTTGGAGGATCTGACGACCTTTTGGTAGTCGGCGTGTATTACGAGCAGCAATGAGGTATTGGTCAAACTCCCCGCCTGGGATTACAATCAGCGGTTCCATCGAGATGCATTTGAAGCATTGACAACGAACGCTGCCAAGGACTTGCGGGTGCATTGGATCATAGTTATGACAAGCTCAAGAAGAAGCAACCAAAGGGAGGGCCGGCTATCAAGCAGTTCCAATACTATCGACTTGTGTTTCCGGATGATCACGAGTTCGATGCCAAGACTATTTTTCCGATTCTGAGAGGACAATTGGCTTCAGCTTTTATTGGAACTGTGAAGATTGACATCAACTTGCAAAGGTGAAGGACTGAGAAGACAATTACGCAGTCTTTTTGGTTGTATGCGATCATCTCACCAGTCGCAAAAAGGCAAAGACGGAGGAGAATGCGCGATGAAATCCCGTCGCTGCAGCGCGCTCATGCTCTGTTGGATATTGTCGGAGAAAGTGCATGGACATGAGAAAATAATCCAGCCGAATTGATCCAGAATCTACGCGGCATTCTTCATTCTCAGATCATTAGAGATCTTCAAAGATGGCGCACAGCATGGTTGGAGATGCTCCATATCGCGACAAGAACCTTTCGATGCTGGTTGATTCCTGCAACGGTCGACAGTCTTCTTGGAATAATCCGCAAACAGCAACCCCCTCTCTAGCATCTCGCTAGGAGTGAGAACCACAAGCTGCCCTATGTCGTTTCATCGTCGTAGTCGTCTCGATGTGGCCATGGTCTCCTTTATTGTTGCTGTTGAGTGGCTGTCATTGGTTTCTGCTTGTCATTGGTTTCGTGATCTTGTCTTAAATCTACCAGTCTTGTCACCCAATTTGTCTAGTGAGAATTATAGGACAAGATGTCGTGTCCTAATCGAGAATTAGGACAAAACGAGATTTCCAATCTTGTCTTAATTCCAAACCATCTTGTCTAGGCACGACTGCCCATTCCACAACGTTCCTGTAGCTAGCTAATAGGGGGATCTGCTTCTACACTGAAACCTTTCTGCCGAGGTTACACAGCTCCGCTGGCTTAACGTACAGCGAAATCCATTCGGTGCTACTGAGTACTACTAGTAGTAGTCCTCGAGTACATGTAGTAGTACAAGAGCAACTTTCCATTAAATTTTGACCTTGGATACTTGCTGCTTGGCCACTGTGAACCCTTTGATTGCTGTAGCAATGTAGAAATCCACATTTCCGTTCCTACCGGACCGCACCTCAAGGCACGATTTCCAATCAAAACATGGCGAGCAGTTTTGGACGCCAACAAAAAAGAGCCTTTTACACGCAAGAGGCCACAATTTCCTGCTTGGGTTGGAGACAAAGAGTAATGTTGTGTGTTCGAAGATTGGGAGAGAGGGTCTTGTTGCTGCGTCTCATGGCATTATTGAGTTTCACCTTTGATGTTCTCTCGGTTCTTTCAATAATTGATAGGGAAAGGGCCTTGTTAGTAGAAACGAAGCGATTGAACGATTGAACGGAGAAAGCTAGAAAGTGCTGGACCTTGGAACCGATGCCAGAGCTTTGGGTCTTGGAGACTTGAGATGGGTGATGTGTGGTGGATGAACTCGACTTGAGAGGGAGGATGCGAATGGATGTCTCACAATCCAACAACACAAAACAAAATAAGTGAAAAGCAAAAGAAATCAACAAACTTTAACAACATGCCCCTCGATAAGAGCAACAGCAACTGTTCCATGGCCACGGACCGTTCCATGGACCGTTCCATGGACTCCTCCTGTGGTTCCCACGACATGGAGGGTTTCAAGTTTGAGGCGGTGGCTGATTTGATGCAAGAGCAGCTTCGTGCCGAGAACAGTGTACGAGACCACAAGTATGGCATGAAAAAAATCCCAAACTCGTTTTTGGGATGTGATGCAGTGACAGCTCTAAAAGACATTTTGGAAACGGAGCGGTTGCAGTCCAGTGATCCCAGCAGCTTTGGCAACAAACCTGTAACCCGAGAAGAGGCGTTGGAGTATGGCCGCAAGATTGCCAAGGACTATCGATTCTTTGTCCATGTCAACGCTTGCAAGAACAAACAACTTGTTTTGGAAGATACGGACAAGGATGTGTATGTCTTCCAAAATAACTTGCCCATTCAAGTGTACAAGATGAAGAAGCAATATCCAACTCCCTGGAGCAGAGTCAAGGTTCTCGAAGAACATGTGCAGGTGAAAGACAATCGTGGAATTGTCCGGGTATTCCAAAACTCATTTATTGCCTCGGAAGCGGTGGATGTCTTGATGGAGCTGAAGCTGGTCCGATCCCGAGGAGAGGGGACCCATATCATGCAGAAGATGAACGATAAGGTCAAGTTCTTCAAGTCTGCAAACTCAACTGATCAGTCTGATTTCCGCGATGACAAGGCCATGTTCTTGCAATTCACTCCCAAAGAAGATCGGGTCCAAGAGCCCAAGCCCCAGAACGGCAAGAAGCGCAGTAGCAGATCGTTGTCCCCAAAGGGCAAGAAGAGTGACAGATCCTTGTCCCCCTCAAGGGGAAAGGGGAGTGACAGATCCTTGAAGGGTGATGAATCGAATCGCAGTCGATCAATGTCTCCCACGAAAGACAGGGCTTACTTTGAGAGCCGTGCCAAGGATGTTCGATCAGGCCTCGGCAAATTCCATGAGCAACGCATTGCTTCCAACTGCGTGGCCTAAGCAAATATTGTCTTCCAGCAGCTACTACTTGGCAGCACAATCTATGTAAAACAGCACTCGATATTTACCTTCTACCTTCCGTAATACTAGTAATTAACGTAAAAGCTACCAAAATTCTCATTTTCTTTAGCTTTGGCTTTTAAATTGAATTGTAGAAGAACCATTGATTGGTCATCGCCCCATTAACAAACAGCAAGGATGGTTGCAACTACCCGTGCTAAAAAAGTTGCATAATACCTTGTCTTTTACCTACCCACAAGACGCAGCAGAAGGTTGAGTTGCGGTTGCGGACATTGGACAAGCGGGCGGCGAGTACGAAACCATGTCAAATACATCCAGCAGGGATAGTGAATCGGAGACTTCACAATGGCTTCCCGAGCTCGTTTTAGCAGTAAGCACAGCTTCAAGGTTGGTATAGGCATTTCGAAACTGCCATTCCAACAGAATGGTAAGGGAAGCAGAAATCCTATCCCCACCCTGAAGCTCAAAGCCGTAAATGTTACGGCTAAAGTTGAACAAACTTGGTTCCACGGTATCGTCGGCAACTGTAAGGCTCAACAAAGTAATGTTGTCTCCATGATTGTCCTCTGGAACCACAATGGATAATTCAAACGTCTGATTGACCCAACATGGCACCATACTATCCGTGCACACAGCCACCAGTGGAGGAGTCTCACTGCAACGATCAACTCCTGGTGGTGGTATGCAAAAGAATGTCAATTCTATTGCAGAGCATGCGTCGTGGTCTGGCGAAGACGTGATGTTAGGCCAGTCTCCGGTTGCCGAACTTGTTGGGTTTGCCAAGGTCGGCGCGGGGATGGTCTGCATATTGCTGTCAAAGCTGGTTGGAGTTTTTGTTGGTTCATGCTGCTCCCAGTTTGAAGTTGTGAGCTTGTGGGGCCCGAGGTCGTACCAGGAGTAGACGGCACGAATGGAATATTGCTCATTGTGGGATTTGGACTATCGTGGGCCTTCAAGACCGCTGGGGCTGGGCTGGGTGATGGCTCTGCAGTGAGCGGGGATGAAGATGGTCCAAATGGGCTGTTCGCGGTAGGCACCATAGGTAGTGTTGGATCTTGTGCCGGAGAAAATGTGGTAGGCGTCGGTTCATCAGGCCCTTCATGTTCCCAATGATAAGATGCAGACACATGCGACCCACTGAATGACGACACGGTTTTCTGTTTGCTCATCATTGTCGTCCTATGATTCGCTGTCCGGCCCTTCATTGTCGCTCCCGGGGACATGTGTTTGGTTGCACCTTTGCCGTGGTGGTGCAGTTCACGACCGTTCAACTTGTGCGGGATATTGTGTAGCGGCGAACCAAGCCCTGTTCGGGCCGCCTGAACAGTGGACAGGGCCAGTACCATGATGGACATGCAATAGATGAGCTTCTTCGTCATGGTCTTCTTCGTTTTAATCAGTGCTGCTGTTCCTTGCAAAGTACTCAACTGCACTCCACGACGCCACCTCTCTCCGCCCGTTCCACATCGAAAAGCTACATGTACATACTTCAAAGCCTCGATCCGAGTATAGAATTGCCACTCGGCGTGTTCAGCACCGTGATGGAACGAAAGCTACACGCTCCGCTTCTTGCAACTCCGTCAAACTCCACGGTGAGGCAAGATTGCGGATCGTGGCGAGGGTTGTGTCCCCAGCAAGTCTCTTATCTCTAACACTATTCGGTTTTTTTCAGCGCTCGTCTCCTGTATCCCTTTGCCTCAGTTTGGATGTTTGGATCCTTATGACGAATACGGTACCTGGTACCAGTCAATCCAGCCATTGCAGCCGGCTACCATAGGTACCTGGTACCAGTCAATCCAGCCATTGCAGCCGGCTACCATAGTTACATCAGCGACAGTGGCAGCAGTACCGAACACACTCAGGTTCGGCTTTGCTCGCTACACTTCGTTACCAGTACTTTGCATTGGATCCTTATGACGAATACATGCAAAAAACCGAATATTGTTAATCCAGCCATTGTAGCCCGCTACCGTACAGTTACATCGGCGACAATGGCAACAGTACCGAACACACTTAGGTTCTGCTTTACTTGCTACACTCCATTACTGGTACCTTGCATTGGATCCTTATGACGAATACATGCACAACTGAACATTGTCAATCCAGCCATCGTAGCTAGCTACCGTAGAGTTCATGCATCGATCGGTGACAGTGGCAACAGTACCGAACACACTCAGGTTCGGCTTTGCTCGCTGCACTGGGTTACCTCGCATTGGATCCTTATGACGAATACATGCACAAAACCGAATATTGTTAATCCAGCCATTGTAGCAGGCTACCGTACAGTTACATCGGCCACACCAGCCATCGTAGCCAGCTATCATAGAGTTCATCGATCGGTGACAGTGGCAACAGAACACACTCAGGTTCGGCTTTGCTCGCTGCACTCGGTTACCTCGCATTGGGTCCTTATGACGAATACATGCAAAAAACCGAATATTGTTAATCCAGCCATTGTAGCAGGCTACCGTACAGTTACATCGGCGACAGTGTCAACAGTACCGAACACACTCAGGTTCCGCTTTGCTGGCTACACTCCGTTGCTGGTATCTTGCATTGGATCCTTATGACGAATACATCACAACCGAACATTATGAATCTAGCCATTGTAGCCGGCTGCGGTATAGCTACATCGACGACAGTGGCAACAGTACCGAAGTTCGGCTTTGCTCGCTATGGTTACCGGTACCTCGCATTGGATCCTTATGATGAATACATGCACAACCGAATATTGTCAATCCATCCATTGTAGCCAGTTACCGTAGAGTTACATCAATCGGTGACAGTGGCAACAGTACCGAAAATACTCAGTTTCCGCTTTACTGGCTACACTCCGTTACCGGTACCTTGCATTGGATCCTTATGACGAATACATGCACAACCGAACATTGTCAATCCAGCCATCGTAGCCAGCTATCGTAGGGTTCATCGATCGGTGACAGTGGCAACAGTACCGAACACACTGAGGTTCCGCTTTACTGGCTACACTCCGTTACCGGTACCTTGCATTGGCTGTTGCCTTTCAATGACTCCACGACGATCTCCTATCCTCCGTTCAGGCTGCTGATAAGGCTGGAGTTAACAGACTCCTGGGGGTAGCCTCCTCTCTTGTTGTTATCCGGAGCGATCGTTCGTTCGACCTCGACAAGGTAGTTCATCGGCCGTCAGCAGTGCAGCAGAGAAAACAACAAATAGATATGAGTTTTGTTTTCTGTGCTCAACTGAAGAAAACCGGCGACTTACCATTGTTTTCAAATTCCACCAACTTGGCTGTCATGGGCCGAGAACTGACTGCCATCCCATGGTCCATAGGATTCAATGAGGGATGGCTTTCGAATCTGCACCGGAGACGACCGGCTTGAGTGAGGCTTGACAATAGAGATAATAGAGGTGCGACCGACCGATCGATTGAGATTCGAATAATTAAAGAACAACTCACCTGTTGACGGTCAAGCTCGGATTTATCTCCTGAATACCTGCGAGAGGAGCCAAAACCAGCTGGTGGTTGGCAATCACGAGGTGAACCTCCCGGGACTCGCTAGAACGAGGTAGACGATTCATCAACCGCTGGAATCTCGTGGTCAACACCGCGCTAGCTACGTCGTCGGCTTTCGTCGATCCAGTTGTTCTGTTTTCCAAGGTCGGGCCACAGACCAGAGTCGCGGCGACCTAGAGGACGGAAGGGTTGTGGTGAGTAGATGGGAATGGAGGGCTCTTCATCTTCGAGGTCTCTAGTCTCTTGTTCTACTCGGGTTTGTTGAGTGCTAGTTCGGGTCATGGTCGGCTTGGAAATGGCGCAATTTTCGAAGTGATCTGGAGGTCAACTTCGAAAAGGAGGAGCGACAACCCAGCGAACTGACTAACTTGCAGGTCAGGATCCAGCTCGAAGTGCCACATCATCCTTGAATGGTATCCAGGATCGCGTAGACCTCACTAGGATTGGTACGGCGAGACTACAACGTAAGTTGTCTCTGACCTGGTCGTAGTCGTCCAAAGAATGGCTTGTCAGCCATTTGGATTTCGACGTGGAGCTCAGCTCAAGCTTGAGCTTGTGGTCTTGCGGTCAACACCGTCATCTTGATGTGACCTGATTCTCTTGTCTGAATTTGCCGAAAAACGGCAAGATCCAGCTCTCATCGTCCCACCATGACGAGAGAGGTCACCCATCGGTTTTTCGAAGCAAACATCGCATCAAAAACACCCCCCCCCCCCCCCCCCCCCCCCCCCCTCCCCCCCCCCCCCCCCCCCCCGCCCCCCCCCCCCCCCCCCCCCCCCCCCCCCCCCCCCCCCCCCCCCCCCCCCCCCCCTCACTCACTCACTCAATTCGTGAGGTAAACACCTCCACCAGTCTCGCTTGTGCAAGGTGACGAAGAGTTGGGCCTCATCACCTGCGAACGGAGGCCGATGTGCAGTACGATGTAGACATGGGATGACACAAAAGAATAAGCTAAATATTAAAAGGGGATTCTA